TGGTGTTAGAAATTCACAAGAAGGTCTACGAAATAACAAAATCTACATGACTTGAAAGTTTCAGAAAGTAGAAACAAACAATATGGATATTACATGTAATAGGAGGGTAAATAATATTAAATCAATATGTTGATTTTTCCCACTATTTTAAACAAAAGTTTACAAGGAAAACTCGCATCGACGTAACAGTGGACTAAATAGAGCTATTTACCGATTATCCATATCGAAAATTCCTTCTGTTCACAGTTGTTTCGCTACGTAAATTTATATGGTTAATGATCTGCTGAGCAACAATAATCTTCATTTTTTTTTATTTTTAGTCCGCTATATTTCTTTCTTTCGTACTATATAAATTATTTTTTTTAATTGACGATTTTTAAAAAATTCTTATTTGAATAATCGGAAGATAATATCTATGATATAAATGTTAGCTTCGAATTAAATGTCTATATTTTTGTTTCATATCAGGCTATCTAGTACTACTTCTCGCTTTGATGAGTAATCGCCGACAAATCTGATTCCCCCAGTGGACAATTCTAGTGAAGAGTGTGGCTCGACACCGAGGAGGTTCAAAATCAAGTCGTGTTAAACAGGGTAGGGGCTTTCCTGTAAGAATTAATAGTCATTTAGAACAAAGACGTAAAGTCGGACCCATAATGATTTATGGAGCCAGTTCGGCGATGTCACAACTGAAGTGAACGACCAGAGAACGGAGGTTTCGCTCGATGGAATCAACGGCCAGTCGTCCGTGAATAAAGTGAGGCTTCAAGTGGGAGGACATCGTTTATGGTCTGACCTGGAGAAGGAAGGGGTCCACCTAATCCAATTCCCCAGGATACGCTACGCATAATTTAAACCTTATATGTGGATAGAAATGGTTATGGGATCAGTTGCACAACGACATTACGAACACGCAACGTCCTAGGACTGATAATGAAGATGATTTTTGGTCGTCTAATAAATTTTTGATTTGATAATCATTTGATTAGAGCCTATAGCGACGAAAATTGGCGACTGACCTCGTCAAACTAAACGACAGCGCGTCGCGTGTATTCTACGACAGAAAATGTGGCGAAAAAGAAAATTACTTACCAAACAAAAGGGGCACGCATTCCACATGACATACTGAAAATGGAATATTTGAATGAAAAAACAAGACTGTCGAAGGAGTCGCTATAAAAGTATTTTGATATGCAAATTACTGAACATCTTCGCCCAGCTGTCGACGAATGAAAAAAATGATCAGCGATAAAAGCAGTTGGTGTTCTGGAATCGGGAAAATAATAAATAAATAAATAAATAAATAATTCGGGTATTTTGGCTACCGCGTTTGTTGGAGAATGAGTTATTTCTCTGACTGGTTGCGTGCATTGTGATTCGTGAGAGTACCTGCGAATCGAGTTTTCGGCATTTCTTTCTGCCCCCGATGTTCGAGTCTGAACTTAGTGATTTATTCTCTGTGACGTGGAAATAATCTGCGACAAACATTTCCTTTGTAATCCCAGATCGCTTACAGAGCCCAATTACAATTTGATTTATTTTGCGTTTATTAGCATTATAATATAGTAAGAAAGAACAAATATTGAAACGTTAGACAAAATATCCTTCCTTCAGAAATGAAGACATGTGTCGAAAATGCAAAACAGCAACTGTTTTATTTCTTGTTTTTTTTTTTTTTCAAATCGTTGAGATTACATTAAACAAATACTTTAAGGAGAGGCTTCTGCCTTCAACATTCTCTTCTTATATACTAGGAAAGTCGGTTGATTGTCACGTGCTATTCAACCTTTTTCATCAGAAACTATGTTCTAAATTTAAAAGTATATCATGCATATGGACATTAAATATAGCTTCCACATCTGCTGCTTCTCCTATGTATCTAGAGATTGTGGAATAAATCCAGAGAACTAATTAAAATTTTATTGGTACTGACCTGGAATCTCGATTGCAGTAACTTTCCCAAATATGTAACATAGCTACCCTTTTCACCTATATTTTCTCGATAAGTTCTCATGAGATTTTATCTTTGGCACCTTCCCTTTACGAACATATACGCAGTACTAGTTAGGTTTCATCAATTTACAGTGAAATTACTAGATACAATCATAAGTTCTATGTCAACAGTTTATTCATACGTACATTTCAGTTGGAGAATGCTCGTCCTGCTTGTTAATTTCGAAAATAAACATTTATCATCAAAGATTTAAATGCAATGCCAAACGCTATGTTTTGTCTTAATTTCCGTTCTTTTATTACCATCTCTCCTTAATAATGATTTTTCTCAGATTCTTTCACTCCCAGTAAGCCTTTGCATTTTAGTGGGTTCATCGTTTTTCCTTGGGAGAAATGATTAAACAATATTTAAAATACATTGCGTACAGAGAGGAAATTCAGTATAAAACTTTATCAAAAGGCAAAAACAAAAAGAATACCCATTGACAAACTTCAACAGGAATACAGACGAAAGACCTGCAGTCTGTAACTTTTGCAAGTTCCTTTGAAAATAACTTGCAACGCAACTTAGACAAACCTTAAGCAAATTATATTGCAATCTTTTGACGAATGCTTATTGAAATGATACATAATACATTATGTTTGTAAGTTTAAAGATAAAATGAAAACCATTTTTCCATATGCATAAAGTATCTTTCTCTCTTAAACACACCAACACATATGAATATATGGCATCATCTTAACATAGCACGAGACAATATATTTGTAAGAATGTTAGTTTCTTTGCGTCAGTTATACTTAGATAATTGTCGTATAGGCATAGATTTATAAGGCCAGATTTCCAGCATGGTGCTATGGGTCAAAGTTCTATAGGATGAATCTATCGTGAGGACTACGTTATACTTGTAATTTTTCAGACAAGTTGCATATATACTTTTCTGTTTAGTAAGTTATATAATTAATTTTATAACGATTTGAGATTCCATATATATATATGCGTATAATTTAAAAAATTAAAAGATATTTCATAAGTTCATAAGTTCCGTTTATTTAAAATATATTTAATACATAAATTTATTTCATATCAAAATAATTAAAATATTAAAATCAACAACATCATTTACTCGCTTTCGTTTATTAAACATTACATTACGTCACTCAGAATCCTTCATAAATGTCCATTTCAGTTAGCCGGATGAATATTTATGAGTGTCTCTTAAATTTAAAAATCCTGAAGAGGTAACAAAATGTTTGCTTTTGTTTATAAATACTTGCTGCTAAATAAAATCCTTGCATTTGTGTGGATAAAGTCCGCCAGTGGACGCAACGTGTCAGAGAATATAAGCTTTCTTTTTGTCATCATACACACACACACACACATATATATGTATGTATTACTGAGGATAGATCAAATAACTAGATATTAGTAACTACATATAGGTTCGTTAGCGTGCATACACAGGTAAGCGAATAAATATTTACTTCACTTAATATGAGGTGTAAACAAAACAGAAATCAAAAGTAATAATTATTGCCTGATGATTTCTGTAGCACAAATAAACTTTAGGTTGCACTTCGAACGTAGGTATATACATACATAAATACACACACAGACACACACACACACACACACATATATATATATATATATATATATATATATTGCTTTTACACATCTGCAGTCTTTTCTTCTGGGATATCTGATTGACTGCATTGAATAGACGATGTCAATATTTGACTGATTTTCTTTTTCTTATATTGGTAAAATGTGTATTTCTTATTTTCGAAAGATTAATTTTCGCCTTTTAAGTTGTGCCGGTCGCCAGTGGTTATCGACGCGGGGTGTGAATCAAGGAGTCCTTGGAAAATTCCAACGTAGCCTGATGCGTCTAGAATAGCAAAACTGTTTGAGGGTAAGGCATGAAATCAATTTTTCTAACTGCATCTATTGGTAGATTTTGTCCTGCAGACTTGAATGTTTAGTCACTACATAAAAATGACTACCATCCATGAAGAAGGCGACTAGAATCTATTTTAGTCTCTTTACCCAGATGTTATGTCAAATCATAAACTATAGAAAAAAACAAGCTATTAAGATCGCCTACGTTCTAATGTGATATAACTTCAAGAAACGAGGCTTTTAGCGGTGTGGAATGAAGCTGTTTTTCTAGTTGTCTCTCGGTGAATATTAGAATAAATCCACTATAAAATTGGATGGGTATCCTTCCAGTCAGCTTATTCGTGCTTGGGACATACCATATTATAATCTAAGATAAGGAGATGTAACCACCATTAAAGTGAATTGATTTATCCAAATAACATTCAGTCCTGATTCATATTTCTGAAAATACTTACAAAAGGTTTTAAATTAAAATTGTTTCGTCTTTGTTTTGTTTTTTTCACTACGGCATTAACTAAAATCCGTTACGTTTTTTAGAATGAACTGCAGACGCTTCCAAAACAAACTTTTTAAGATGGCCGTCTGAAAATACATACATGGCCACTGAGAACTGACTGAACGATGTGTCACTGGAAAATATGACAGAGCGCCATCTCAATTGATTAATGCTTTCTTTGTTGAAATGTTGGCTTTTAAGAAGTGTTTTTCTTTTCTCTGTCCGTTCTGTCATTTGATGAATATAACGCATTGACAGTGTCTGAATGGCTTGAGCGCACTCTCATCTGTCGCTTTGAAATGGAAGTTATTTTTCAATTCCAGTTTCATTAGATGACATTGTATTATTGATGTCTCAATTGAATCTGAAGGAGAAACTGTGTTTTACATTCTTTCAATGCACAGGGAATTTGATGTTCAAGCAGTCTACAGTCAAGAAAGTGTAATTCTCAGTTTTGATATTATTTTACTTTGACCTCGTCTACATTCACATTGGCAGGCAATACAAAAGATTAGAAAAAATTAATTTTTGTGCTACTGGATTTTGAGATAATGGGAAATCAGATGTACGCATATATCACTTGTGTTCATAAAAAGTGATCAATTAACAATAGGTACATACATATTAACTTACAGACCTGATAAAATAACCATGGCTATCTATCTATCTATCTCCATATATCTGTGTGTGCGTTTATTATTTGTTTGTTCATCATCTATATATCTATATATCTGTTCATTATCGATGTGTTTATTATCTATCTATCTATCTATCTATCTATCTCTCTCTCTCTCTCCCTCTATATATATATATATTCACTATGTATTTACTCGCTATCTATCTACCTATCTATTTCTGTATCTGTTCTTTATCTACTTCTCTATTTCTCTCTCCATCTATCTATCTATCTATCTATTCATTATCTATATATCTGCTTTTATCTATATTTATTTGTATCTATATATCGAAGTATAGGTTAATTATTTATCTATCTGTTCATTACCTATCTTTCTATCTATCTATATATTTGATAATTATCTATCTATCTATCTATCTATTCATTATATTTATCTATGTATTTTTTCATTATTTATCTAATATTATATCAGAAAGAATGTTTTCTCAGAAATGTCGATGAAGAAGACTCAAAAACATCTTTAGTCTTAATTGATATTCTCAAGCGAGTTAATAGTTCTCTTTATTTTCAGTGATATAATCCCATATATTTGGCAAATTGTTGATTGCTCGGACGTAAACCGCTTCAGGTTTTGGTGCAAATCAAAACTCGATATGAGTTATAACTTCTTCAATGTTCATAAACGATTTCCTTCTATGATTTGAAGAAAAAAAAATGATTGTCAAGCAACTTTTTACACATAATGACATGATATTATCTTGAGTGATTCCAACATTTTCCTGTAAACGCAACACGCCTGACTAATCAATAATGGGTGAATTTATGCAAATCTTGTGTAATGCTTCTAACCGAGGACAATAATCCTCCGCCTTCCCCGAGTTGTTTTAGTTTAAACCTTAGTTATACTCGACACGTATTTGTGGTGAACAGTCACGTAGAAGCAAGCGAGCCAGAGAGGCTTGCATCAGGTGCAAAGGAAGATAAAGGTCGACCTCAACATACGGCATGCGGCATCGGCATTTTAGCTCTTTGAAAATGTCATTACACTTCCGTCTAGCTATTCCAACATAATGTTCGCTAACGGTTTTTTTTTCTGCAATTTGACATGCTTCGACAAATAGCAATTCGTGTGGTGATTGTTCGGTCTGAGGGAGGCTGTTTGCCTTGGTAACTGAGAATAAAAGCGAAGAACGCTGACTGGTTGGTCTGCCGTGGCGTTGGTCTTATAAAAGAGGGCTGAAGCAGTGCTGATTTTCTAAGCGTAGCCTAAAAATGTCAAAAGGCTGAAAGTATGGGACACCCACTGAGGATAGAACTCAGTAACAGTCGTAATTGTTCTAGCGAGGCAAGCTTCCTCGCCATTACACCACGCCGAGGTGCCCAAATTGATTTTCCAAGCGTAGCTTAGATGTGGCACAAGGCCGAATGTATGGTGAAACCGGCGAGGATCAAGCTAGCTACTCAGTCTTAACTGCTCTAGCAAGACAATCTTGCTAGCCGTTACACCGCCTCGAGTTCCCCAAAGAGGGCTGAATCAGTGAGAAGGGGAGAATGGTTATACGTTTTGAAGTGTGTGGAAGGCAATAACGATGGGTTGAACCAGCAGTATCTTGAATTGTACGAACAACGACCTAGTAATAGAGACTCATTTGAATTACAGTATTATATCTCATTAAATACAAAAATTAACCGTTTTTTATGTAGTCGTGGGGTTCCATTTTTTTTCTGTTGTTTATAGTTTTAAATTATCCACTTTTCATTGTTGCTGATTATAATACCTAGGACAGCTCTGCTAACCAATCTAATCCTCAATGACGAAAAGAGAGCCAATAGTTAATTAAACTGAGAAGTGATAATATGATGAGGGACACATTGTCTAAATTCGAGTTCATTAAGATCGAAATATGTCATCTATCGAACTCTTTTGCTAATTCGCGTGTAGTTTGCTTAGGATTTTCTTCAACTACAGTTTTCAAAAGCTTTATATGCACAGTACTTTGTCGTCCAGGTCGAGGAGAAGGTTCGAGTGCAACATTTCGCGGTCAACACAGGCCACACTAACATTGATGTGTCCAGATATGTGAAACTTCATTTGCATAGACACGAGGAATATTTCCTGTCGATTCCGTTGCTGAAAAGGCATTGTCGATTACGTGCAGCATCGACTGCGTTTAAAAATTTCATGTTGATACATTTGTCAGCCTGGTATGAATTAATATGGAAAGAAACAAAAAAATGCAGAATAGAAATGGTTACAACCGAAAACCAGGATCGAAACCCAACCTATCAGAAGATAGTCGTAAATTCTACATCAACGCCATCAGCAGAGAAACAACGCTAATTCTAGCGTATTTTTCTTACGAATGTAAACAAACGCCAGTTAGCCAGAGGGCTCGTATTCATTTTACCGAAAAGTTTTGCTTTTTAGCGCAGGCGGATACTATTTGTAGAATTCTGCTGTCTCTCAAGAGTCCTCAATTGAAAATATGTTATCAAGAGCTTAATTATATATATATATATATATATATATATATATATATATATATATATATATATATATATATATATTATAAATGGACAAAGTCCGACAATTATTTTCAGATAAAAATAGTCTTAAGATAATTGTTGGACTTTGCCCATTTCATAATGTGTGACGTCATTTGTTTACATTTGGATACACATCGAGCAGAATGTACGAGAAAAATCATGGAGAATTGTAGTTTATAAACCGTACAATCGAACTTACTAACCGAAATGCTTTTCTGTTGCCCAATCGGTAAATCACGTTAGGCTATATGATGATTCCGTATAAGATACAGTTTCAATTCCTGTTGGAGGACGCATATTTTCCATGAAAAGTTTCTCGGACATTCAGACCGGCAAATGTCGTTAATACTGTTTATTATAAACAGAGCATTTACTTATATATATAATCGTCTTTTTGTGTGACATGAGTACTATAATGGATCTGAAGAGACGTCCGCAGGCACCGTATGGTAGAGTAAGAAGGTTCAGTTGGTGGCGAGCGCTAGCTTTTATTTGGCCTCCCTTGTCTCTTTCTATTTATTTTCTGGTGTTTTCAAAGGATTTTGTCTTGTCGTGGACATCTTTTCGCCAACTGGTTCATTCTGCAGTTTCCGTCTACCAACTGACCGAATCGTTTTCTGTCCTCAGTAAGTCGTTTTTGAGCTGATCATTGAATCGACGACGTGGAGCTCCACGTGGCCCTCCTGTCAGATGCGAGCTCTGAGAACAGGATTTGTTTAGGTAGGCGAATGTCTGGCATTCAGGAAGGGTGTGCGGCCCATCGAAGTCGGTGACGAAATATAATGGTTTCTAGTCTCTCCATCTTTGTACGGAGAAATTCGTTTACGTGCTAAAACCCCTGGGAAAAGTATTAATCCTCATTTCCCTCCAGCTATGGATGTATAGCAAAACAAACTGGGTTCTATAGCCTTGGATGGCATCTTGTGTAGAAATAGAACTCTGAATTCAAAGCCTGCGGATGGCCATTTGGGAAACTTGTGGCACATAGTGTACGAGGTCTCTGTATTCGGTCCTTGAAAAAGTGTGTCTGATTCATCACAAAGTCTTCACCACTATAGTCAAATCATAATATGCTGGTGTCTGGGCTGTCGGTTACTAGGAACTGAGCTACTTAACCCGCATACGTTGAATAGGATGGGAGAGTCCACCATATATATATATATATATATATACGTGTGTGTGTTTGTGTACGCGCACAGAAAAAACATTCAATTTTATTGTCTTGTTTCAGATATGAATTTAATATAGGAAATAGACCCGTTACTGAAACGCAGTGTCATTAAGTCGTTGCCAATTATAATACGTGTATTTTTTTTTGTTTATGCACAAGGGAGAAGCTATCGATTATTTCTATCCATACAGCGACGAGTTTTTTCTATTTTTATGTAATATGTTTCTTCAGGACTTGGGCGAATGTGGCTCTTAACAAAAATGTATCGTTTGTAGACTTTAGTAAATTTGTCTTTCTGCAATATCGCCTAAGAATTTTTTTCTTCCAACCATTTACAAAAGCTTGATAGGGAGTTTATACGTAGATTTTTTTTCTCATGCCTTCAGTACGTCTTGTGAGTGCCATATTGTAAGTAAGAGAGGCGAGTCGCTAAATAAAAGAAATAAATTTTATGCAATTGATACAATGCCAGAAATAACTTCTCTGATTTATTTAACCTGGTACTAAAATCATGATGGCTATTTCTGAAAGTTAACGCATGCATAGATACTTACATTCGTAATAGTAACGTATTAGGTCGACTAATGAACCTCTGGGCGGAGTACTGTTTTTAATCGAATTTGTGTCCACTCTGTGCTTTTGTATGTTTAGAACTTGTGTATGTGTGTGTGCCTTTCATTGAATAATATAGGCATCTTGTGTCTACTTATTTTTATACTGATCTTTCTCGTTGTCTAAACATTCTTGATCTTGAGATTGTTACAGTTTATATATATATATATATATATATATATATATATATATATATATATATATATGTGTGTGTGTGTGTGTGTGTGTGTGACTAGTGAGTTGTTCCAAATGCCTTGACTCTCTTTATAGTCAACCAATAGAAGGTTAACCAATCAGAAGCCGCAGAACATTCTATCCGGCGGCCATTTTGTTTAACCTACCCGAATGACCAGTGACAACTTGTCAGGCGAAGATGACAGAAGGAAGTACTACGCTCTGCTACTTTGCTGCGATATCCACTGCTAACCTGAACTACGCTTTCCTACTGTCTCCGAAATATTCACTGCTAACCTCTGGATTCTATACTCGAAGCCGACCGTCATAAAATGTCTAACAGAGATGAAATTCATCAAGGAAAGCGTCGTAGTTTTCGATAACGAAAGTATTATCGATCTATTCTAAAACAAAACAAAAAACCCTGTTAGTTCATATGTCGACTTGACGTCCACCACATTATCTTAAACTTTATTTATCGGATACGATCTCTATTGCACAACATCTAAAAACACATTCCAGTTTACATTCGCAATACAGGAAAATAGCAATATAATACACCACGAACATAATAAACGTAGCCTTCAAATTCTCAGGTCCGTCAATATCAAAATCAACCAAATAACACTCAATAAATTTATTACGAATCTAGCAGCAACATATTAAAGTGCTTCAACATTCAACGCCATTTTACAGTTCTACGGATTTCCAGTCAGCTCTCTTATATTAAAATGATTGTTTTTCAAAAAAATTCTATAACTAATTTGAAGATGATCTTGGAAATAATCGAAAGTAATTATCTTAAAAAAATTTCATTGTTAAATTTCATCGTAACATCGAGAATCTGAATAGACAACAGGAAAATATCATAATAAAAACAAGTAAACAAAATATGTTTATATTATTCAATGAAACATGTTGGAATGAAGATATGTAACACACGCACACACACACACATATATATATATATATATATATATATATATATATATATATATATAAGGAGAGAGAGAGAGAGAGAAAGAAAGAGATTGATAATATTAGTGGTCAATATATATATATATATATATATATATATATATATATATATAAGAGGAAGAGGATATAGTTGTTCAAACGAGAGAAAAGTGTGTATATTGAAAAAAAAAGAGTAACCGCAAACGTTTTTGGTTGTGATGTGAATTTTTAAAAAATATTATGCTTTATCTTGGAATATTAGTGTTTGAGCATTATATATTATATATATATATATATATATATATATATATATATCTCCTAAAACTCTAACAAATTTTTGCATGACCTACAGACGAATTGTCAAATGACCTAACAAATTAGACGAGAAAAAAAGTCCAGAAAAGGTAAATTGAAAGAGATAAAAGAAGAAAAGGATCAACAGGCGAATCTCGACAGTAAATTAAAATGCTCAACGCCTTGACTATCCAGACGTAGCAAAAGATACCAATCATAACGTCAACACTCAGCCGAAAGACAGCTTGAATCGCTACTCAAGTTTCACGATTTCTCGATCTTCAGGCACCCAAATGTGGTAGCTATCTAATAAATATGGCTGGGCCTATGCAGCTATTTTTTTTATTTTTACCTTTTTTGTGTGCATACCATTTTTAGTAAATTTGTCTGAAGGTCATAATTCTAGATTTCTAAAATTCCAATTTTAAACTGACAGATGACTTGCGCCCTACACTACATGTACTTCTGCTGATAAATCTAGTTGTTTTCTTTCCGTTGCAGACTCAAATTATCCATCATCGCAAAATCGATCAATTCAAATTAACGGTGGATTTTTCTCACCTGCAAAGATAAATTATTTTTTTATGATTTCAGTCTTTCTTCCAACTGCGTGAACCGCCCTGTTATATGCAGCGTTAGACTGACTGATTTTCTATGATAATTACAACAAGCGTGTAAAAAACAAAAACGAAAAATAAATGAAATTATTATCAAATTGGAGAAAAATATTGCTTTTGATTGTATTATACAATCTATCTTCAGCGCAGTCATGTTCAAATCTATCTAAGAATGTTTACGTCTATGTCTGTTCGTATCTATCTATCTATCTATCTATCTATCTATCTATCTACAAATGTTTTACAGTCCTTCTCTGTCGTTTGATCCCATTTATACTGTTCTCGTATTTTGTAAGTATTTTAAAGAGATGAGCGAATAATTCTTGACATTAAATAATCCCTATGTCTGTTTAAGTCACTTATGTTTTAAATGCATAAATAATTTTAGACATAATTTAATAATGTATAGTAAATAGTTAATGGGTTTATTATTTGCTATGTATGTCTATAAGTGTGCTTGTGTCAAAAAATCTATCGATCTCGATAAAATGGAGGAATACGGGAAAAGATTTTGGGTGATATTTTTTCTGATCAAAAGGGTTTCCTATCTGAATAATTGAAGGTATATTAAAGCAGCTCATTATATCTATCTATCTATCTATCTTTTACGCGCCAAGTAAAAATCCAAGCAATGTTTACGTAAGTTAAGTATAAATGTGGTCAATATTTGCCTGTAGAGTGAATATAATAACGACCAATGTTTACCTGTAAACTAATATATGTACACATTTAAATGTACATTAAAATATAGTAATTAAAATTTTGATTACGATATTAAATAACCCGACAAGTGTTGATATACTATATAATCGATTAACAGAAACAATCATTCAAAAAAAAAAAATAAAATAAAGAAGAAGAAAGATTCCTTCCTAATCTTTTATTTGAAGTAGTGCTGAACATCAACATCTTGATGCTGTCATTATTTTCTTTTCAACTTACATGTGATATCCATTTAAATTGTTGTTGTAAATCATTTTCTGTTATCTTTTATAAAACTCTTTGCGATTGAGTGGCGTCAGTACACAAAGTTCGGAGAAAAATTGTCTTCGCCACAATCCACAGGCTTCACTCGCTCAAAGCCATTTTCGACTATAGATCTTAGAAAGCGGTTGTATTCAGCTGACATTTTAGATATTTCTAAACGTCTCTGATGTCCTTCATGACATTCATATGTAAATCCCGATCTGATGAGGCTACTGAGGTACATGACTCGAGTTGTTAAGTTACGGTGTTAGCTTTGTAGCAATTTGCGATCTTGTGAAAAACAGACCTTAGCAGAGATGCAATGGCAGTTCTCTCTGTTTAATAATCGTATAGTTGTCTGGAGTACCACAATAAGTATGGAGCTCTCAGTAAGAAATGAAATCGCAAAAGTAGTACTTGATAAAGTTTGGGTCTTACTGCAGTGCCTTAATAAACATAGTAACAGTAGCAGCCCTTAATAAACCTAGTATCACAGCAGCTCTGGAGGTATAAAACAACGCGAACCCTTAAATTAATTCTCTTCTGTATTTTTCCTCTTTTAGAAATAGTTGAAATGAACTTTTCACACTAAAACTAAAACGGCTGTAGACGCTTCACAGGAAAACACAGCAACACAGTAAGTCAGCCTCAGATATATTAATATTTCGTTGTGTATGCAATTTACTTCTAGGAAAATAATCTTTTGAAAATTTCCTTTTAATTTATTAATTGTTAACACGCATTGAAAATAATCTGGCGTTATTTAGTGCATGTACCATTTTTATCGCCATTATTTCATGTATTATAATATATTCCCGTAAGAAAGCTTATACTTAATTTTGAAGTAATCAACACACTAAATTACTAACCACTATATTACTAACCACTATATTTCTGAGTATGTGTTTACACAGCTCACACATACACAGAAATAACAACACAGCCTCAACAACAGAAGCAGTGTCCATACGAAAACACAACTCGCTGCCAATGCGGTCAAATGGTAATTGTGAATTCAATCCTAGAGATGGCTAGGAGAGAATCAGTGTAAACAGACATGCGGTGACTGATTATTAGTAAAATGATCGGTTTTTGCATCAAATAAGTACCAAAGCGATATACACCAAAGCAAAGACAGTAAAACGAGAACAGTTTCTCTCGGTCGATTATTTAAAAGGCAGGTTAACCGGATTTGAAAACATTGGAAGTGGACCGAAGACCTTTGTCGAAACATTGTATTAATAACACCGAATATGAGGGGATCAGATATAATGATAATAATCCAATTAATAAACAGATTTATTAGTGTTTCATGGAAGTATTTCCATTGTTTCTATTATCAGATAGCGTCGCAACATTAATGCGGTCCAAATTTGCCTTTCCGGATATTATGATTTTGATCTGGTTTAAACAAATTTGAATTATGAATATATTAAATTGTTTTTTCTTTTAATCATAATTTTAATTGACTTTCATTGTAACTTCTCGGATGGTTTATCTAAAATCATTCATAAGTTCTATGCTAACAGTCTCTATTCTCGCACTGCTCGCTTGTAAAACTCGCTTCCGGTTCCATATTTTCAAACCAAAGATGTAAATGCAATGTCAATCGCTATCTTCGGTTCTGATAAATATTCTTTTGTTCTTGCTCATTAGAAATGTTTTTGCTTTCTAATTCTTTTACACTCACTAACCCCTTGTGTCACAGTGACTTTACTGTCTGGATTGGTTTGAACTTGATTAAAAAAAGAAAGAAAAGTCGATCGGAAAAAGTCGATTGTTCTTGATGAGATATTAACTCTCACCTGTTTTATTCTTTTACTCTTTTAGTAGAGCTTAAACCAGGATCGCATTCTCGTTGACAGAATTTAAACTGAACCATTTAAACTTATTTATCTCACCCGATCAATCGCTACATCCATATTTGACACTTCTTTTGTGTTTACCTATATTTGTAGTATCAGTAATATTTCTGTTTACATAAGTATTTTGATTCGTTTATATGGCGCAGCATTGTCAATCAGTGTTAATTTTAATCCTATTCCAACTACCTTTTATCATAATAATGAATAAATGATTTTTCTTGAGCTGATGCATTACGAATCAATCTTCATATTGTCATTTTGGAGTTCTTTAACATTCACTTAATAAAGAAGTGGGAATAAATAATAAAACATATAAAATCAAATAATCTCCTTATTTATAGGTTTGTCCCTAGTCGATAACTAGTGATTGTCTATCAGCTTTTAATCATTTCACCACAAACAAGGCAATAAAGCCACTAAGACGCAAGTGGTTACAGAGTATGAGAGAATATGAGAACAAGAACACATTCTTAATGATATAGAACAATAAAAGAACAGACAGTAAGTAGACAAAAGATATCGATTGACATTATATTTATATTTTTGAAGCCTCGAGACATTTCAATTGTAAAACGATGAGACGCTGCTGCCAATCGAGTAGTACGCTTAAAAATCTATCTATCTATCTATCTATTTTTTCTTTTTTTTCATGCCTCTTTTTTTTTTTACTATTTTCCTCCGCCCTTTCTTTCTTTCTTTCTTACGAGCATATTTTTTCATTTTCGTTTTTTTTTTTTTACTGGCTTTCTTTTTATTAATGTGTAATTTTTTATTTTAATTATTTATCCATTTACAAATTATTCAGCTATTCACAGACGTATATATATTTAAGGTATTTGAAAATTGTTTCTATAAAAAAAACGCTTCGACAATTAATTAGGGCAAATAAAACGGGCACGTTTATAAAAAAATAAAATAAAACAGAACAAAAGCAACTACATATGAGTCATATTATCCCTTTTCTGGATATGTCTGCACCAGTCTGCTAATCTATCTATCTATCTATCTATCTATCTTTTCAGGTACCGTGTAGCTTCATTAGTGGCGTGTTCACAGAATTCTATATATTTTATCTACTTAGCATTATTCATTGTTCTTGTTCTCTTGTCCATTCTCACAATCATTTTAAGTAGATTATGACTCTCTTTTCCTCTTCTCTTAACTTCAGTATGTCATGAGAGCGTTAAATTCTCCAAACGAACTTGCCTCATTATTTAAGAAATTTCTCTCAAATTTCACCTGTCACTTTCTCATTCTTAGCAGCACTTTCCCGATAGCTCACGTTTTCATCAATACTTTGCCGTTTCTCATACATTCTGCCAATGTTCTTCTCAACATTCCCCGATAGAAACACATCTCTGACGCTTCAAATATTTCAGTTATATACGATGAAAGAATCAAGTATTTAATGAAATGTAGAAGATTAGATGTATCATAACAGTTTAGTACTTATTTCGCTGTTTCGAGAAAACAAGATGCCTTATACCTATGCGTCTTTGGAATCAAGTACCTTATACTCTGCCTTTGTTAAAATTTGGTAAATATTTTATGAAAATATGTATATACAACTCTATATTGATCATGTCCACACACGCACACACATACACACACAAATGGACACTATACAGTAAGAACCAATTACATAGACTCACTTATATATGCACACATACTCATATATATATATATATATATATATATATATATATATATATATATATATATGAAAGCCAAATTTTTTAAAATTAAAATTATTTATTAATCATGCTATATATTTACACCTACAAACACAAACACACGATAGGTAAGGATCGGAATTTTATAAAGGATTAAAATAAAGTTCAGATATATAGATATTATTCCAGGATCATTTCCCAATTTATTAAAGATGATCTTCGCCCTCTCTAACATTCTAAATTTCTGTCCTGGCGTAACAATGTGACTCAAAGTGACTCACGTACCAAACGTTTTGGTGAATTGAGTCGATTTCATTTATCAAGGATCTTTTTCCCTCACTACTCTGGACTACCATTATTAATCGGCGAAATTCACCATCTCACGTACCAAACGTTTTGTGAATTGAGTCGGATATTTTCTAATTGATATCTTTATCCTTAGGATGATATTATGATCCCTCTTCCTGTTGTGACCTCTTGATCCAGTTTTACTCTCTACTGTTCAATTTTTTTAAAATTATTAATCGTTACTGAAGGACTGAAAGATATTTTCCCATCACCATTGCACAGATTGAAAGACAGTGGATCTGACACAAAACGATTTTAACCAGTTCACTTTTAGCTGATTAACTCAAAGTGTTTTTCAGTGATTCTTACGAAAAATGTTGATAAGATACCAAAAGTTATTGTCTGAAGACTAGGAAAATTAAACTCAATGAGGTTAGTTTTTTTTGTGGGGGATATTAAACATTTTCTGTAGTAGATAATTATGCTGATATACGATTTAGGCAATTTTGCGGTTACACACGGTGTACACACACACATACATATATATATATATATATATATATATATATATACAATTGAATATTTGCTATATTTATAGGACAGAGGTTTTCATTATTGGGTAGACTGCCTTTGTAGATGTAGATTGTGAACATATGGAGGAAAGAAATGGGCCCATCCTATTCTTTTATTTTTGCCTAATAGGTGTCATGACATTTAGTAAGACTATTTTAATTATCAATTTATTTAAGTAATTTTAGTCATTTTTTTCGGTTTCTTTGTTTAGTGATAATGGCAATATAGCTATAATCAATTCGAGAAATAGATATTCTCCTAAACAAAATATCAAAAGTTATTTCGAAATGCATACATGAAAACAAAATATTTGATATCTAAGAAACAAGTTAACTAATTGAGTTTATTTATTACAGGTTTTCTAAGATGTTTTAACCATCTTTATAAATTTCGTCGTAAGAATCACAGAAAAAAACAAAAAATGGGTTATTCAGCTAGAAAGAGTACAGGTTAAAAGTATTTTTGTTTCAGTCCCACTATGTCTTCCCAAATGAGCAATGCTGAGATGAATAAGATCAGTCAGGCCTTTAGTAATGCTACCTACATCCATAGTCTTGCTTTCATCGTCATAGTCTATTTAAGAACCTTCAAGAGAACAGTGAATAAGTTAAAAAATTAGAGAACTGTAGAGAGAAAAACTGGACAAGAGGTCACAACGGCAAGAGGTATCATTTCAATTAAAGCTAAAAACATTCTTATCTTTCAAAGTAGAGTCCAGTGAAGTTATTCAAACCTTGCAGAATTCCAGTAAGGTATCTTTAATCTTTCCAAAGAAATAACGGTTCAAATCTTAATCTAAAAATTTTGCTGATACACCCGGTGTCTATATATATATATATATATATATATATATATATGTGTGTGTGTGTGTGTGTGTGTGTGTTGGATGTGTGTGTGTGTGTATAATTGTGTATTTGGGTAGCAATACTTCTCTTGCAAATTGTTCATTAAACATAGACAGGTGAATGACTGCGATTAAGGTTTGTATTCATAATTTCTTGTGTTAGACAAAGTGATTTCTTTTGTAGACATAAAGTGACTAAAACATTTTGTCCAAATTTTCTATATCCGATGTGGTTTGTTTTATTATCATTAGGGATATTATGATAAAAGAATAGACGTAATTAGTATCTTCATCTGCAGAATATATAGATCATTCAAACAAAAAATTGAACTACACAAACTTTTTTAATGTCTAAATAAAAATAAATTATAAAAATAAATAAAATTGAAAAAAAAAATCTTTCTTGCAGTACGTTTTCAGTCCTCTTCAATGAAACACACACAACTATATATATACATATATATATATATATATATATATATATATATATATATATATATATATATATAAAAACAAAATATGTTTATTTATTATAGGTTTTCTAAGATGGTTCCAACGAGCTAGAAAAGTATGTATATTAAAAAGAAATGAGCAATGCTGGGATGAATAAGCAAACGTTTTTCCATAGTTTGTAATGTGGATTTATTGAGAAAAAAAGTATTATACTTTGTTTTCACAACAGCATAATTTCAATTAAAGCTAAAACATTCTTATCTTTCAAACAGTCCAGTGTTTCTGGTCTGGTCTCTTTCCAAAAAATAACAAACCGTCTTCATACACCTGGTGAAAGTGGATGTGTGTGTGTGTATTTTATTTGGGTAGCATATTATTAAAATAATTAATTTTTCTTCATGTTCAATGTTTCTTTTGGAATATTCTCGATATATAGACATTCTGTTTGATGTAGTTAGATCAATCCGATTTGTCTATAAAAGAAATCACTAAAAATACCCTCTTCTTTTTATATATATATATATATATATATATATATATATATATATATAAAAGAAATATGCTCATTTCAGAAGGAAAGAACACGAAATGTGGTCCAAGTTTCGAGTTTTTTTGTTTTGTAAAGTTAGTTACCAGGGGTGAAGCAAATTACGAAAGTCTCGAAAAAGTTCAATGAATATTCTGTTTGAATTTTCCTGTAATTTTATATTCCAAATAATCTTCGGACAATGTCAGAGAAAGAATTTACGATTAGTTTTTTTTTTTTTAAAGACAGTGATCATTTACGCACAAAGCTGGAATTTTCACACATCTTCGGAGGTCAGAGAGAATTTTACGGCCTGACAGTAAATGTCGTTAATAGGCCGGTAAATTTTATTGTAAAACCGAGCATTTACTTAAATATTTGTATCTATCAAAAGACCGTATAAACATGAAAAAAATCTTAAAATAATTATCGGACTTTGTCCAATTCATAATATATATATATATATATATATATATATATATATATATATATATATATATATATATATATATATATAATGGCTGGATACGCGTTTACGAATTTGCTAGTCGCCCTGAGAGACGGACTCGTTTATGAACGCATACGTCTGCCAGGGTGACTAGTAAATTCCTATTACAGACACATTCTCAATCAACAGAGCCTACTGTGGTTCATAATGCCTCTATACTGAGTGGATCATAGTTACATTTCCTGGGAGAGAACAACCAATATAACATAAATAATATATTGAATAAGGCCAGTATGATCAACACCATAGTCGCTATAATTTGTAACATCAAATTATTATAAACATCAGTTTCATTGCTCAATTCCATTGACAAGTCTTGGATTAAACTGCGGCATGATTTGCAGCCATTTCTTAATTGTGCGTGTACTTGGATTGCTATACTAGGCCCGATATAATCAGGAATTTATTTGATAACTCGACCACGGTGTGAATTCAAACATGGGTTTCCTTGTCAGAAAGCGAATATATATATATCAATGCTTATTCGTATTATTGATAATTATCAATTATTAACGAAGGCGATCTTTTATTATGCAAAATTTATACTTCTTATAATCAGTATTTAATTATCACAATATCCAATATACCTTAATAATGTACGCTTAGATGGACTCATTGATATTTGCATCAGCCTTTTATTTGTTGATTTTATTGAAAAATTATACTGTCTTGACATTACTTATAGAATATTTTATTGCTTTGTATAGATCTTTTTAAATGAATATTGTTTTCTGTTCACATAAAAATCTCTTTTGATGAGGAGCTACAATTTTTCTATGGGAATTACCCCAGAACATGTTGGAGACTATATTAATTAATTTTGTTTCTTTGAAATCTTGGCAAATTAGTCAGCTTTGCCAAATATGAAGTAGCATTGTCTTGTATGCTTATAGCACTTTCAAGGGAACGCTTCCATTATTGCACAATATTTTCCATTATTTCACAATGCTTCTTGGTCATAATTTTATCACTATGAAATTAACTATAATTTTCCTGCATGTAACTTTACTGGATCTCACTCCGCTATTTCTTAAATGTTCCAGCCATCACGTTCATCCAATGTAGCACTATATTCATCATTAATATTTATGTTTGAGCGATCTTTTTTCAAGTCATTTCAATGCTTAATTTATATGTTATTCTTTGTGGATTTTAATTAAAGTTGACA